CCGAGGCGGGTGGATCACGAGGTCAAGAGATCGAGACCATCCTGGTCAACATGGTGAAACCCCGTCTCTACTAAAAATACAAAAAAAATTAGCTGGGCATGGTGGCACGTGCCTGTAATCCCAGCTACTTGGGAGGCTAAGGCAGGAGAATTGCCTGAACCCAGGAGACGGAGGTTGCGGTGAGCCGAGATCGCGCCATTGCATTCCAGCCGGGGTAACAAGAGCGAAACTCCGTCTCAAAAAAAAAAAAAAAAAAAGAAATTAATTTTTGCTTAAAGAATTTTTTTGATGGGCTCTGGACTACATGGCCTAACATTAAATCTTGGTTCTGCCTATTTTTAGCCATGTGACTTTGACCAGGTCACTTCACCTTTCAGAGCCTCAGTTTTCTTGTCTGTAAAACGGGTGTGGTAATACCGTCTTCCCAGGTTATGATAAGAACCTGGCCCACATAGGTGTTCACCCAGTACCAGCTTTTTTTTACAGCTATTTCAGTGTATTCATAAGCTGGGCATGGTGGCTCACGCCTGTAATCCCAGCATTTTGGGAGGGCGAGGTAGGTGGATCACTTGAAGTCAGGAGTTCGAGACCAGGTTGGCCAACATGGTGAAACCCTGTCTCTACTAAAAATACAAAAATTAGCAACATGTGGTGGGAGGCTGAGGCAGGAGAATTGCTTGAACCTGGGAGGCGGAGGTTGCAGTGAGCCAAGATTGTACCAGTGCACTCTATCCTGGGCAACAAAGCAAGACTCCATCTGTAAAAACAAAGTGTATTCATAGATAGTATTTATTGATTGAGAATATAGAACAACAGTAACCCCAGAGTGAACGAGAAAGCAGCTGGCTTTGGGGCTATAAGCAAGATGCTGGCCGGATGCTGTCCTTCTTCCTCAAGGACTCATTCTGTGTCTGTCAAAGGTGGCTGACTGCATCTGCCTGATGGCCCTAGACAAGCCCCAGGCTGTGCCTGTGGATGTCCACATGTGGCAGATTGCCCAACGTGACTACAGCTGGCACCCTACCACGTCCCAGTCAAAGGGCCCAAGCCCCCAGACCAACAAGGAACTGGGTGAGGAGAGAAAGTGGGCTGCAGGGCTGGCAGTGGGCTGGGATGGTGGAAACTTCTCTCTAGTCACCTCTCCCTCAGACCCTACCTCTGTTGATGGGTCACAGAAGGGGTCAGATAACAGCCTTATTACTTCTGATTTAGGAAACTTTTTCCGGAGCCTGTGGGGACCTTATGCTGGCTGGGCACAAGCAGTGAGTATACCTAGGTTTCCCCTTCTCCAGCCCAGACCCCATAGGACTTCTCCTCCAGCCCTAACCCAGTGGACTCTTCCACTACCACCACCGCAGGTGGCCCTAAAGGACTCTCCAGCCAGCCGTCCCAACCCCAGTGAACTCTCGTTGCCTTTGGCCCTGTTCCCCATGGACTCTTCCACCTCCCAACACTGTCACTAGTCCCACCAGCCCCGACCGCAGTGTACCCTCCTCCCCACACAGACTCCACCCTCCTACAGGTGCTGTTCAGTGCTGACCTGCGTCAATCCCGCCGTGCTCAGGAGGCACCAGCAAAGCGCAGAAAAGGTTCCAAAGGGCCGGAAGACTAGATGGGGCGCCTTGGACAAAGAAATTCCCCAAGCACCTTCCTCTCCATTCTGTCTCCCCATCCCTACCCAGTCTCATGTTGGGGAGGGGCCTCCCTGCAACTACCTCAAGGGCCAGGTACCCCTAAATCAAGCAGTTAGTTTGCACAACAAGGTAGGGTGGGGGCTGTTTGGGGAAACAGAGCCAAAGATGGTTTTATCTTCTTCCCTTTATTACAAGAAGGAACAATAAAATAGAAACATTTGTATGGAAAATGCAGTGAGGAATGCTGGGGAAGTGGGTGAGGAGGGGACAGGGCAGGGAAACTCCCAGTTTAGGGAGGGAAGGGGAGCAGGCTGCCCTCAAGCCCTCCCACATAGGGGATCCTGACCCAAGGTCCAGGGCCCTAGAGCTGGCGGGGCAGTGTGGGAGACAGTTCTGGGCCCGGCTCCACGCAGCAGTCTCGACAGCAGCAGCCAGCTGCTGGCCCTGCATGGGAAGAGAACAGAGCTGGCCGCAGGGGCAGGCCCTCCCTTCCAGCCCAGGTGCCTCTTCATCAACCACCCATGCCCTTCTGCAGAGCCTGCTCCTCACCCCCAGCTGCTGGTGTTAGCAGCTCCCCGTGGCTTGCGGTCTGCCCCTGCCCCTCCTGGCTGGTGCCCAGCTGCAGCTTCCTCATGTGCCGCACCACAGCCGTGGCATTGAAGGCTTGCTGTAGGCAGAGGGAAGAAGGGACTTTTGAGAGAGTCAAAAGTCATGGGGCAGGGGCGTAGTGGGATTCTTGCAATTGTTCTGTTATTTTCATTCAGATGTTATTTTACTGATTCCCCAAAAGCCCCTCAAAAACCTCTACAAGGCTTTGTTATATATTTATACACACATGCACATATGTTAAATATATGTATATATATAAAAATAGACACATAACTCTAACTCATATTAGTATGTAATAGCAAACGCTATATAGCACTGTGTGTCAGCTACTGCTATAAGCACTTTACATAGTAATTCACTTAATCTTCACAAGTCTTTGAGGTATGTGCTATTAATATCACCATTTCCTTTTTCTTTCTTTTTTTTTTTTTTTGAGACGTAGTCTCACTCTGTTTCCCAGGCTGGCGTGCAGTGGCATGATCTCGGCTCAGTGCAACCTCTACCTCCCAGCTTCAACCAGTTCTCCTGCCTCAGCCTCCTGAGTAGCTGAGATTACAGACACGCACCACCACACCCAGCTAATTAATATCACCATTTTTAAAGAAGCAAACTGAGGCACAGAAAGCTGAAGTAACTTGCCCAGGTGTGTGTGTGTGTGTCTAGTCAACATGTCCACCTAGCTATCCCACACACCATGTCTAAAACTAAAACCATGCCTCCAAGACATGTTTCTGTCCCTGTGATTACCATCTCAGTAATGGTACCACTGTCCACTCTGTTCACAACCACAAGCTTGGGCCAGCCCTTGACATCTCTTTCCCCCAATGTCCATTCCATCATCACGTCTTAGTTCCACCTCCTAAATGACCCCTGGATCAACCGTTATTCTCCACCCATGCTGCTACTACTGTGATCCAAACCTTTAACCTCTCCTGCCCGTATCTCTCTCACAGCCTCCTAATGGGTCACCCAGTCTTTACTCCACGCCATTCTCTGAGAGCTCTTTTTTTTTTTTTTTTTGAAACGGAGTTTCACTCTTGTTACCCAGGCTGGAGTGCAATGGCGCGATCTCGGCTCACTGCAACCTCCGTCTCCTGGATTCAGGCAATTCTCCTGCCTCAGCCTCCTGAGTAGCTGGGATTACAGGCACGCGCCACCATGCCCAGCTAAGCTCTTTCTTTTTTTTGAGAGAGAGTCTCACTTTGTCACCCAGGCTGAAGTGCAGTGGTACAATCTTGGCACACTGCAACCACCACCTTCCAGGTTCAAGTAATTCTGCCTCAGCCTCCCGAGCAGCTGGGATTACAGGCACGTACAACCATGTGCAGCTAATTTTTGTATTTTTAGTAGAGACAGGGTTTCACCATGTTGGCCAGGCTGGTCTCAAGCTCCTGACCTCAGGTGATCTGCCCACCTCGGCCTCCCAAAATGCTGGCATTATAGGCATGAGCCACCTTGCTCAGCCCTGAGAGCTGTTGCTATGCAGCAGATTCTTGCCTCAGGTTCTGCTGGGGCTCCTCAGTGCCCTCAGGATCAAGCTGGTGCTCCTCTTTGGCATCTGAGGCCCTAAGAGGCCTGGCCCCTATCTGCCTCTCCAACCTGGGCTCCTGCCTCTCAATCCCCTCAGGCCCTCCTGTCTGGCCAGGCTTAGCACTGGCACTTCCCTGAATGGCTGCAGACATTATTCCACTGTGCCTGGCTGATTGCTACTTCACTGACAGCTCTGTCGGGTCATCACCACATTTATGATCTTTCCTGGACCCCATAGGCTGAATCAGATGCCTCCTGAAGAATTATACCTTCTCCCTCAAGACTTGGAGGTGAGGGAACCTCTCTGGAAAAGGGAAGATATTGGGAGTGTTTGTTGAATGAATGAAGTTCTTCAGTAAGGATCCCTAGGCAGTTACTGTATGACTAGCTTGGTGCTAGGTGCTGTGCAAGCTGAGCATGGATAGGGATGGGGAGGAGTCCTGGGGAGGCTGGGACCAGAACTAGGGATACGGACTCACCTTCCACTTGCTCTTAGCAAAGTTCTTCTTGATCTGCTCACTCACCGACTGGTGGATATTCTTATCTAGAGCTGTATCGCCTGCAATCCTAGAATGAGGTTGTGTGATGGGCTGCCTTTGAGGGCAGAGGCAGACCTGGGGGCCCCAGATCCCACCCAGCTCACAGCTTGTGTGAATTCTCACCATGGGTGCTGCAAGGCCTGCTCACAGGTGAATCTTTTCTCTGGGTCCTTCTCCATCAAGTGCCGGATGAAATCTTTGGCTAAACCACCAAGACAAAAGCAAAGACTGACGGCATGATAGTGCCTGTGGACTCCCCAAGATACCCACTCCCTCAGGTCTGGCCTGGCATCAAAACAAGACAAAGAGGCCAGATCAGTCCGTGCCCTATCCCACCCTACCTGTGCTCTTCTTCAAATCCTCCCACTCCACCCCAAGCCTTCCAGCTCTTTCCTTTCTTAAGAAAAATTTGTTCTTGGCCAGGCACAGTGGTGAGGCCAAGGCAGGTGGATCTCCTGAGATCAGGAGTTTGAGACCAGCCTGACCAATACGGTAAAACTCCATCTCTACTAGAAATACAAAAATTAGCCAGGCGTGGTGGCGTGCACCTGTAGTCCCAGCTACTCGGGAGACAGGCGGAGAACTGCTTGAACCCAGAAGGTGGAGGCTGCAGTGAGCCAAGATTGTGTCACTGCACTCCAACCTGGGCGACAGAGCAACACTTTGTCTCAAAAAAAAAAAAGAAATAAAAATGAAAAACTTGTTCTTGAGTAATCTCAGTGTATTTATACCCATGCATAAACAATTGATAGTAGCTTCACAGGTTTGCTTCTTAATAGGGGGCACAAAAGGAGGGATGATAATGTTTATGGTGGTGTTTTAGGCATTAGAAGTCAGTAGGGGAAAAGTTTCAAATACACTATGTTTGAAGATTGAATGAATGAATGCCTAAAATTTCTCACTCTAGGAGCCAAGCAGAGAGAAGCGCCCAGGGTAGGGTGTCTGGTTTCAAAGACAGCTCTTAGTGTGGTGCTGGAGAATCAGACAGAAGGCAGGCAGGAGGGAGACCGCCCCCAAAGCAGGTGATGGAAGGACCAGAGGCAGGGCCCGGGGAAAAGGGAAAAGCCCCAAATACCAGAGTCAGAGATGTCGTCCCAGTAAGGAGAGTCAAACTCGTACTCGGCCTTCAAAATCTGTTCAAAGAGTTTGGCATCATTCTCGTCATAGAAGGGGGGGTAACCGCAGAGCCTGGGCAGGGAGAAACTCAACCTCGTTTCCACTTTCAGGTGCACCAATTGGCTCCAGGGTGGAGCGCTGGGGCAGTCCCAGGGGTCAGGCAGGACCCACAGGAAGGAGTTCCCCATGGAAACTACACAGCCCTGCCTGCCTACTCACTCCCCTTCTAGCTACATTGTCCTTTCTGTTCCTTGAATGTGTTGCCATCTTGCCATCCTCAGGGCCTTTGCACTTGCCATTGCCTCTGCCTACGCCACTCTTTCCCCACACCTTGAATGTCTGGTGGCCTCACCACTGAAACATCACCTCCACAGCGAGCCCTTCCCTGACCTCCCTACTGAAATGGCATCACCCCCATCTCCCTATCCCTGCTTGGTTTCTCTCCACAGTATTTATCTATTTATTTATTTTTTCATAGCCGTGTGTCACTACACAGCATTTATTTTTATCTCCTGACATTATTTTGTAGATTTATTTACTTGTTGATTGGCTGTCTTCCCTACTAGAAAGAAAGCTCCCTGAGGGCAGGCACTTTGTCTGGTTTGTTCTCTGCTAAATCCCCAGTGCCTGGCACAGTGCCTAAAACATAATATCTACTGAAGGAAGTAATATTAGTAATTGATTGGTAGAAGGAAGAAAGAAAGGGAAAGAAGGGGAGGGAGGGAGGAAGGAAGGAATAGCAAAGGGAGGAAGAGAGGAAAGCAGGCGTGAGAGGACAACTCTGGAGCCACAGCCTACCATGGCCAAGCCCCACTTACAGGATGTAGGCAATGACACCTATGGACCAGCAATCCACAGCCTTGCTGTAGGGCTTCTGGGCCAGGACCTCAGGGGCTATGGAGGGAAAAGGACATGGTGGTGACAAATCTCTGCCATTTAGCTCCTGGTTCCCCCCACCACCACCACCACAGCCCCAGCCCAGGGCCCTCCGCACCCACGTATCCCGGAGTTCCACAGGCGGTGGAGAGCACACTGCCTGGGTCCTCCATCTTGGAGAGGCCAAAGTCGGAGATCATGATTTTGGAGTCTTCATCCAGGCTGTAGTACAGCAGATTCTCTGGCTTGGAGGGCAGGAGGGAAGGGAAGGGGCAATCAGAGATGGTTAGAGGCCAGTAGAACCTTCTGCCTCTTCAAGCACCTTCTGAGAAATAATGGACCCCCCTAAAGCCACTGTGGCTTCATGGCTGCCATAGGAAAATCAAGGAGGTTCTCAAGAAGCCCAAAAATTTCAGGAAGGACAAGAGCCAAGAGAGTGTGAGAGAGAACTTTCTATAAACCTCAGGTGTGCACTAAGCCCTAAAGAAATTTTTGAGTGCCTACTATATGCCAGACCCTGGATTAGTGCTTGATTTAATGTCATCCTCACCGCATCTCTGCCAAGCCAGTCTGAGTAATCCCATTTTACAGATGAAGGAACTGATGCCTTCAGAGGCAAAGTGACTTGTCCAAGAACCCGTAGTTAGGGAGTAGCAGGGCCAGAATTTAAGCCCCAGTGCCCTTCTAGACTGGATTGAGATGGACTGCCAAATGTGAGCCCCATCGCTATTTCTGAGGAGTAGGATTTCAGGGATTTCTGGCCTTTTTCTTTTTCTTTTTGAAACTGAATCTTGCTCTGTCGCCCAGGCTGGAGTACAGTGGTGCAATCTCGGCTCACTGCAACCTCTGCCTCCTGGGTTCAAGTGATTCTCCTGCCTCGGCCTCGTGATCCGCCTGCCTCAGCGTCCCAAAGTGCTGGAATTACAGGCATGAGCCACCGTGCCCAGCCTCTGGCTTTTTTCTTTATGCTTTGCTGTCCCATCGAAGTTTTCTACAAAAGGGGAATAGGATTTTTTTTGAGACGGAGTCTCACTCTGTCACCTAGGCTGGAGTGCAATGGTGCAATCTTTGCTCACTGCAACCTCCGCCTCCCAGGTTCAAGTGATTCTCCTGCCTCAGCCTCCCAAGTAGCTTGGATTACAGGCACCTGCCACCACACCTGGCCAGTTTTTGTATTTTTGGTAGAGTCAGGGGTTTCACCATGTTGGCCAGGCTGGTCTCGAACTCCTCACCTTAAGTGATCCACCCATCTTGCCTCCTGAAGTGCTGGGATTACAGGTGTAAGACACCGTGCCTGGTTTTGCTTTTTTTTTTTTTTAATCAGAAAAAGACATAAAATTTTATTTGGATAAAATACTAGCACAATTCACTTTTGTGTTCATTTGAGTATCTGGACTAGAATGGGAGGAGGCAGTTTAAGGATTATAAGATCCACCTTGTAGATGGAAATCCAAGGCTCAGTGAGGGGGTGAAAGTTGTCCAAGGTCAGACAGTTTCGGGTTTGCAAAGGCCCCACCTCTGGGTACCCCAGCCCACCACACCTCATCGAGCCTCACCTTGAGATCCCGGTGTACAATGCCCAGGTCATGCAGGTACTTCACAGCATCCAGCACCTGGAAGATGAGGCGGCTGGCATCCCGCTCTGTGTAGAAGCCTTTTTCCACAATACGATCAAACAGCTCCCCACCCGACACCCTGCAACAGGGGATAGGGCAGTCTGGCCAAGAGGGTTGAGACAGCAGGAAGAGGTGTGTCGGCAGGGGGGCAGAGGTGGGGCCACTCACAGCTGCATGATGAGGTAAAGGTGGCCCCCACTCTCATAGATGTCATCCAGGGCTACAATGTTGGGGTGCTTGATCCTGAAAGGAGAAACGAGGTGGTTTAGCCAGGCATAGTGGTGTACACCTGTAGTCCAAGCTACTTGGGAACTTGGGAGGCTGAGGCAGGAGGATCGCTTGGGCCCAGCAGTTTGGTGCTGCAATCTGTTATGATTGCACCTGTGAATAGCCACTGTACTCCATACTCCAGCCTGGACAACAGAGTGACACCCTTAAAAAAAATCGGTCGGGCGTGGTGGCTCACGCCTGTAATCTCAGCACTTTGGAAGGCCAAGGAGGGCAGATCATGAGGTCAGGAGTTTGAGACCAGCCTGACCAACATGATGAAACCCTGTCTCTACTAAAAATACAAAAATGAGCTGGATGTGGTGGCATGCACCTGTAATCCCAGCTACTCAGGAGGCTGAGGTGGGAGAATGGCTTGAACTCGTGAGGTGGAGGTTGCAGTGAGCTGAGATGGTGCCATTGCACTCCAGCCTGGGTGACAGAGTGGGACTCTGCCTAAAAAAAAAAAAAAAAAAAAAAAAAAAAAGTGGTTTAGAGCTCAGGACAGCTTGCACCGCACCACTCCCAACACATACACACACACTGCCTGCAAACCTGGGTAGGACAAACCAAGGATCTAGGCCCCAAAGGGAAAAGCTGGCTTACCATGCTTGATTATCATTTCTTGGAAGGTGAGAGAGTAGGGGGATAGACACTGGGCTCTGGCACACACAGACCTGGGTCCAAATCCCGCCTCTGTCACATTTTGCTATTTGGGTGCAGGACTTTTCACTTCATGACAATGATCAATAATATGACTTTTTTTTTTTTTTTCAGCAGATGGAGTCTCCTGTGTTGTCTAGGATGGAGTGCAGTAGCTCTGCAACCTCGAACTGCTGGGCTCAAGTGATCCTCTTCTGTCAAGTAGCTAGTACCAGCAGGCTCACCACTGTGCTCAGATGATGTATGACTTTTTTTTTTTTTTTTTTTTTTTTGAGACAGGGTCTCACTCTGTCGCCTAGGCTGGAGTGCAGTGGCACAATCACAGCTCACTAAAACCTTTACCTCCTGGGCTCAGGTGATGCTCCCACCTCAGCCCCTTGAGTAGCTGGGTCTACAGGCACGTACCACCATGCCTAGCTAATTTTTATATTTTTTGGTAGAGACAGAGTTTCAGCGTGTTGCCCAGGTCACTGTTGAATTCCTGGGCTCAAACAATCCTCCTGCCTTGGCCTCCCAAAGTGCTGGGATTACAGGCGTGAACCACTGCACCCAGCCTGATATATGCCTCTTAAGAGTTTTCTGGCTAGGTGGTGGCTCACACCTGTAATCACAGCACTTTGAGAGGCCAAGGCAGGAGAATCACTTGAGGTCAGGAGATCCAGACCAGCCTGGCCAACATGGTGAAACTTTGTCTCTACTAAAAATACAAAAATTAGCCAGGCATGGTGGCACATGCCTATATTCCCAGCTACTGGGGAGGCTGAGGCAGGAGAATTGCTTGAACCTGGGAAACAGAGGTTTAAGTGAGCCGAGATCGCATCATTGCACTCCAGCCTGGGCAATAGAGTGAAACTCCGTCTTGCAGTGGCTCACGCCTGTAATCCCAGCACTTTGGGAGGCTGAGGTGGGCGAATCATGAGGTCAGGAGTTTGAGACCAGCCTGGCCAACACGGTAAAACCCTGTCTCTACTAAAAATACAGAAAAATTAGTTGGGCATAGTGATGGGCACCTATAATCCCAGCTACTCGGGAGGCTGAGGCAGGAGAAGCGCCTGAACCCAGGAGGCGGAGGTTGCGGTGAACTGAGATCATGCCACTAAACTCCAACCCAGGCAACAGAGTGAGACTCTGTCTCAAAAAAAAAAGGGAGTGGGAGTTCTGTGTTTACACATTTATCAGCCTCCCCCACCAGACATAAGCTCCCTGAATCCAGAGGCTTTGTCTTGATGGCCAGTGTTCCTCCAGCACCTGGTACAGGGTAGGTGCTAGATTTAATGTAACCTCTCTGAGCCTCAGTTTCTTCACCTATAAAATAAAGCCAATGGTAGTACTTCCCTCAAAGTGTTGGGGTGAGGATCATGTGAGATAATGCAGGTAAGGTGCTTGGCAGTGCCTGGTACAGAGTAAATATTCATAAGTGAACCAATAATGGTAACTGATTTTTTTTTTTGGAGATGGGAGTTTCCCTCTTGTTGCCCAGGCTAGAGTGCAGTGAATGGCACGATCTTGGCTCACCGCAACCTCTGTCTTCTGGATTCAAATGATTCTCCTGCCTCAGCCTCCTGAGTAGCTGGGATTACAGGCATGTGCCACCATGCCTGGCTAATTTTGTATTTTTAGTGGAGATGGGGTTTCTCCAAGCTGGTCAGGCAGTAATTGATCTTGATGGTGAGGAAGGCTCAGCTGTGCCACAGACTTGTCACATGACAAGTCTGTGACTGTATACAAGTCCCTTGTCCTCTCTGGGTCTCATTAGAAATGCCCTGTCCAGGGACTGGGAGTGGTGGCTCATGCCTGTAATCCCAGCACTTTGGGAGGCCAAGGTGAGTGGATCACCTGAAGTCAGGAGTTCGAGACCAGCCTGGCCAACAGCGAAACCCCATCTCTACTAAACATATGAAAATTAGCCAGGCATGGTGGCGGGTGCCTGTAATTCCAGCTACTATTCAGGCTAAGGCAGGAGAATTGCTTGAACCTGAGAGGCAGAGGTTGCAGTAAACCAAGATTGTGCCACTGCGCTCTAGCCAGGGGGACAGAGTGAGACTCCAACTCAAAAAAAAGATCTGCCCAGGATGGTTGGAAGCTCAGGGGAGAGATTGGAAGTGATTCTCTATAAGTTTTCCAGTGAAGACAGGAGGTTTCACATCAGCATGAGCAATTCATAGACCAGTTGGTTGTGGATTTAGTCAGGGGGTCAGCAGACAGGCATTTTTAAACTTGCTGAGTGGCTTTAATATGTGAGGGGAACTTGAGTAGGTCCAGAGACAAAACCAACTGAGATATGTGGGTTCGAGCCATGTTCAGGATGGATCTTTACACCTGATTGAACAGTTAAACCCCTGTTACTAAGCACTAGCATCTCCATCACATCTGTCATGTTAGCTGTGTGCCAGGTCCTTGAAATAAAGGACCTCTGATATTCCCCACAACCCTGTCAAGTGGAAATTGTGATCCCCATTTTATAAATGAGCAATTTGAGGCTTAGAGAGTTTAAATGACTTTTCCAAAGTAGGGAAGGAGGAGGATGGGAGGGCCAAGACACGGTCAACTTGGGGCAGGGAAAGGCTGTGGCCCACGCACTTGTGCAGGACAGCAATCTCATTCTCCATGCTTCCTTCCTTGCCCTCCAGGGCCTTCTTGGCAATGCATTTGATGGCCACCAGCTTCTGCGTCCTCTTATCTTCTGCCAGGATCACCTCCGAGAAGGCCCCCCTATGGGGAGAGGGGATTCACAAGGTGAAGAACTGGAACCCCAGCTTCCCTCCAGCCTCTCCTCCATCCCCTATGGGTTCTGTGACCACTGCTGGATCAAGGATGTGGATGACCCTCCCCAGTCACTCAACCATCCCCTGGTTCCAGAAGTGGTCACATGACCCAGGCCTGGTCTGTCAAAGTAGTCTCTCCCCTAACCACAGTAATTGGTCACGTGATGCAAGCCAGGTTACTTGGCACTTTGAGAATGGGGCTCCTGCTGAGCTGGTACCATGTAAACCTGGAGCTAATGGTGATCATCTTTTCCACCACTTGGGGAGAGCCTGCTTGGGAATGAAATCAACACAGAGGAAGTCCGACCTGAGAAATGGTCAAATACATTTCCTGATAACATTATGTGGGCCTCTGGATCCAGCCATGCCTGAAGTCTACACCTCAGCTTTTTGATTATGTGTGCAGTTGATTCATCCCTTTTTCTGCTAATTTGAGTCATTGCTAATTTAACACCCAGAACCTTAAAGAACCCTCAGCATCACCTGGGTACTTTTATAGAAATGCAAAATCTCTACTACTTTGGATCCTGTGTCAAAAAAAGAAAAGAAAAGAAAAGAAACGCAAAATCTTAGGCCTTGTCCCAGATTTACTAAATCAGAATCCACAGTTTAACAAAATCCTCAGGTGATTTGTATGCTCATTAAACTTTAAGAAGCAGTACTGGCTGGGCACAGTGGCTCACACCTGTAATCCCAGCATTTTGGGAGGCTGAGGCAGGTGGATCACGAGGTTAGAAGTTCAAGCTCAGCCTGGTCAATATGGTGAAACCCTATTTCTACTAAAAATACAAAAACTAGCCAGGTGCGGTGGAGAATTGCTTGAACCCAGGAGGCAGGGGTTGCAATGAGCTGAGATGGCGCCACTGCACTCTAGCCTGGGAGACACAGCAAGACTCCGTCTCAAAAAAAAAAAAAAAAA